ACTCTGTAGAACCCTGACCACTGCGAAGTCCATGTGCCAGAACACACCAAGTTCATCAGCCCGTGGTCTGGATGGTACAAGGTGAGTGTATATTTAGTCATGGTGCAAGCTGATGGAATACATGTTCCGAAGTTTTTACTGCAGTTAATTGTTACTGGAATTAATTGGAATTGCTAGCATTTAAAAAGGCATGAATGAATTTAAACAACACGATCACATATTTATGAATTCAGTAGACTCTGCCCAAACGTCTTTGACCTTTATTTGCATACATGTGCACGCACAGGCAAGGTACATTACTCACTTGTGTTTATGTACATGTAAGTTGACAATCATGTTGTGTTTCACATTCGCAGTTTGCCTTTGGACCCATACCGCCACGACGCATTCATTGCATACAGCGGTGAGGATGAAGCCACCATAGAGCCAGTTCTGCACCAGCTAAAGGAATGTGGAATCCAGTGTTTTTACGCCAAAGAAGACCTTGAGCTTGGAACCTATGTGATTACTTCCATTATTGAGGCGGTCAGTTCGTCTAGGCATACCATCGTGTTCCTGTCCAAGAGTTTTATCCAGAGTGATTGGTGTCAGTTAGAGTTGCAGTATATCATACAGAATGCTAGAAAGTCTAAAGGACATGTCGTCATTCCTGTTGTGATGAACATGGCGCCCGAGGAAATTCCTGGGGAATTAAGCATCTGGAAATATATTCTTTTCGACGATGAAGAGCTCATTCCTAAGCTTTTGGAAGCTATAGAAGGTATCGGTCGAATTATTCAATTTTGCTCTATCTTTTGTTGAAATGGTCTATTATTTAAAAAAGTCTCACATATAAGCGGGCAAGTACATGGGCTTATTCCTTAAGCCCTATCTTTGTACAGATAATTTATCATACTGGCTATATAGACTAACAAATGGAGGACATGATTCTACTTAACGTTAACCACCCGTTTAGATTTACTATATAATGTATCTATCTTGACACTTTAAAAGAAAAAAGCGTGTTAACATTTTGTGATATTGTTTCTTTTTTAAACAGGACCAAGAGACACTCCAACGTATGGTCAACTTCGACACGAGAACGAGGTTTTGCGAGACGAGAACGCTGATTTACGAGAAAAGAACGAGATTTTGCGCGATGAGAATGAAGTTTTACGAGACGAGGTCCGGCATTTGACAACTAAACTTCGCCCACAAAACCGATAAGTGGATGTCAGTCAATGTGACCTGATTTTTTGTAATTGAGTCGTACACGTCTCAAATAATCTTAAGAATACACCAGGGTCTGGC